GTTCTGCACCAGTTTTTGAAGCGAACAAGTGCATTACTGTATAATATCCTTCGTATTACTCGTTTTCTACCACTTTTTGTCGCATACGCGTTGCAACAAAAAGGCTGAGAACGGCTTCAACAGTGTGCGCACTCCTTCTGGCTGACACGCCCCACCGGTCCGCAATGATGAGGACTGTACTACTAGTTGTGTCTTCGTGAATAACTCTACTTTGTCAGCTTTTTTCAACTTTCTTCAACTTTTTTTCAACGAATGTTTCCACTGACTCGTCGTTTTCGGATGTATTTTAAGTTCAGGGGTGGGCCCGATCACGAAGCGGCTCATTCCCTCTGAAAGTTCCAACCTTCTCTAGGTGATGCAGACGAGAAATAAGAGCATAACGGCACTGATTTCACAATAAGGTACATACACTGGTTGGCGCAGGGGACCAAATCGTGTTAGAAAAGAGAGCTAGGAAAAAACATCAGAAGCATCCCGCACTTCCCAAAGGAATCCGCCGATAAGCAAAACGTCCTCTGCTAGTGAGTTCCTGGCCTTCGTGCTGCACTGTGACGGTATGAACTACTTGCTATTAACTAATGCTCAAGTATGACCGTATTTTTTGTCCGAATGGTGGAACCCTGGGTGAGCATATTTCTCAGATTGTTTGGATTTTTCTTCGATTTCTTTTCCCCTTTTCTCTACAGAAAGTCGGAACAGAGTACAGGCTCGTCGGGGGAATCACATCAGAGTGTCGCACTTGATCGCTGGGGAGGAAGATCATATTTGCCTTAGAGAAAATTAAAGGATAAAAAATAAAGGATAAAGTCTTCGCCGTTGATCAATCCCTTTGTGGGATGCGGCACGCATTCTACTTCCATTCAGAATCGTAGTGGCTTATTGAATGCGATGTGGCCTATACAATGACTTGCGGTGGCCAGCCGATGTACAAGTCAGTGTTTTATCCTCCCAGACGAATCTGGTACCAATTTACCGTCCCGGAGGGTAGAAGGCTTGGTTGGTCGGGGCGCGGTCTTGGGTCGACCTGGGATTTCACCCAGGACTGCACG